CTACTGTCAGTAATTCACTGTTTTCACCGAAACTGCACATCCCTAGTCGCAACTCTCTTTGCATTCGTTATTATTCTGACATACATCTATTTGAAACGTGGTTACTCTCCATCACTAGATGATCTATCAGGAGTAAAATCACATATATTTTTCGGTAATCTCATTAATTCTGGTATATTGACAGGAAAATCAACATCTCGTCAAGTTGTGCTCGATTATCAACGTCGTTTTGGTGACAAATTTCAATATTGGTTCAGTTCACATCGATGTTTAGTTTTCTGTGAACTAGAACATGCACAAATCATACTTGCCGATCGTCATACTTTCGAACAATCGCCATTATTTTTTGGAAACATTGTTCTTATTTGTTCGAATGACATTATAATCTTGACTAGTGCTAAATGGAAACGACATATACGAGTTTTGTTACCGATGTTGAGACGAGCAAAGATTATCGGTCATTTAGAGACGATTGTTCAATGTGCTGATCGTTTTATTGATCAAAATTTTCATCCTGATCAAGTTCATCGAGATTTAGTCTCATCCTGTCAATCATTTGCAATGAATGTCATTGGACTCATTGAATTCGGCTGCGACTTCGATATGTATGCTGATTCACTAATAAAAGAAGCTTTTTATGATATTACATCCTATGCCATGTGACTGATGGTCTCACCGTAGGTGCCTCGATGGTTGGGGAAAATCTATTTGAAATATAATTGGAAATATCAACGTACTTATAGATTGATTCATGAATTGTCAGAAAAGCTAATCGAAGAAGAACAAAACAAATAAAGTGAAATGGAAAATGAACAACCGAAGAATCTCATTGCTTTATTAGTTTCATCATTGAATGAAGAAGCCAATGACGATCAAGTTTTATCTGGTCTAACACGTGCAGAGATCTTCGATGAAGTTTTGATGATGATTATAACTGGTTACGAAACGACATCAACTGCTCTATCATGGTTCATATTTTTTGCAAGTAAAAATCCTCAAATACAACAAAGAATGAAAGAAGAATTGCGCGAACATCATCTTCTGATGATAGATAATCTCAAATATGTACCACCACTAACAGCAGACAATTTAACTTCACTAACCTATTGTGAATGTGTGACAAAAGAGGTTGGTTTTGTTTCGAAATGTTTGATTATTTTTATAAGATTTTTCTCTGTATCTAGGTCTTACGTTTGGCTCCTGTCTTTGGATTGACATCCCGTATAGCTACTTATGATACTATCGTTAACGATGTGAAGATTCATCGTGGTCAAACTATTCTTATTGCTTTGCATAACATAAATACTGATGCTCGGTATTGGCATCATGGTGATCCTCAATAATTTGTACCAGAAAGATTTTTAGGTGAAGATAAAAATCATCATCCATTAGCAATGATTCCATTCGGTGGTGGACATCGAGCATGTATTGGACAAGAATTAGCTTGGCTCGAATTGAAAACGATTATTGTCCGAATGATGCAACGTGATATCACATTCGAAGATACGCCAGAAAATGTCGGCGGTTACAATGAACGCATTACTTGTTTCCCAAAAAACGTGGTAGTGCGTGTACGCTTCGATTGATCTGAATATTTCACGCTCATACGACTAGAACTGTAGACAAAAAGATGTCCAATTTTTTTTGAGTAGTTATTATCTTGTGTAGATGCTTGCTTATTGATTTGTATGATAGTTATAGCGAGGTTGTAATAGATACTAGAATTTATATGCTGAAAATCGCGTCAAAAGTGTTTCATTGGAGACTTTATATTAACATGAAATCAAATCGATGTGACGAGGATATTATTAGGCGATTGAAATGATCGACCTCATAGAACAAGCATGATAAGGGGATGTGGGTGTAGTTAAAGAGACGAGTCACACCCACTCATACCCCAAATTTTGTTTATTTTCTTCTTTATTTAAGTATAATTTGCCAGTTTTTTCTCGCTAGAAAATCAATTAGATAATGAAATACAGTTTGAATTCTCAATAAATAATTTAAGATTTTCCACACATAATTGATT